GGGGGGGGGGGGGGGGGGGGGGGGGGGGGGGGGGGGGGGGGCTCAGCTCCGGTCTCCCTCCCGAGGGCCAGACCTGCAGCCTGCCCGACGGGGTGAGCTGGGCAAGGCCGCTGCCCTCGGGCCTCCCCATCTGCTGTGACTAGCTGCTGTCCAAGGTCCACACTCGCTCCGCCCGTCTACGACCCGGGACCTTCCCAGCCCTGCCATCGCGCGTCCTAGGTTCTAAGGGCCTTCCCGGCTCGGCCGTTCTCTCTGGCCCCGGGGAGTCGTGTTTTCCCGGCTGCCCCCTCCCCTCGCCTCCCACCTGGCGCAGAATGAAGGCCACCACGTCGGCTGACTCCCAGTAGCTGGCGTGGAAGAGGTGGGGCAGTGTCACCGTGGGGAAGGCCGTAAGAGCCTCCGGGCAGTAGAGGGAATAGTCGATCCTCTTGTGCCCCCACCAGCGCTCCAGGACTGTGGGTCAGAAGGCCAGTCAAAGCTCCTTCTGGCCCGGGGCCGGAGCCCGGCCCCCGGCACTGCTGCCTCCCTTCCTGCCCGGGCAGACTCACTTTTGACCACCTCGCTGGCCGTGCCGGGGGCGCCTGCAGGGGGCGGGGGCTCAGGCCCCGGCTCAGGGCCCCGCCAGAAGCCGCCGCTGGCCGACGTGGGGGTGGACGGCACCATCATCTCCAGCTCCTCCAAGAAGAGGCCCGAGTGGGTCTGTAAGGTGTCGGCTGCGAGGGCACAGAGGACCCTGGTGTGAGGCCGCTCAGGCTCGCCATCTGCCTCCCTGAGTCTGTCTGTGTGCGTGCAGCTACCCTGAGGCTAGACTTGAACCCAGGACTCCTCCCCACCCTCTAAGCCCTTAGGGGAGGCAGGGTAGGATGGTGCAGTACGAAGAGCTGTGGGTTGGGAGTCAGGAGAGCCGGTGCTGTCCTGAGCCAACATGGGCACGTCATTTCCCCTCCCTGGGCCTCAGTTTACCAACGTGTAAAATGGACTAAGGGAAAGAATTCTACCCTCAGAATCAGAAACCCAGGGTTGCAATCCTTAGTCTGTCACTTAACTGACTGCCTGGTCACGTCATGGGAGCTTGAAGGGTCTCAGTTTCTGCCTCCGTGAAATGGGGCCAGCAATCTCCCAGGACGTGCCTCGATATAACCAACATCCCCTAGGCTGGAGGGAGCCCCGGGAGCTAGGGAGGGAAAGGCCTCGCCCACGGGAGAGGGGCAGAACACGATTTGGACCCCAAGCCCTTTGTGGGCAAATTCCATGCCCCTTCCTCTCAGGCACAGGAAGGCCGCCAACGCCCACCTGCCTGTGCCAACTGGCTCGTTCTATCAGACTGCAAGCTCCTTGGCCTGTCTTTGTACCCCAGTACTCAGCCCAGTGCCTAGCAGACAGTAGGCACTTAATAGATGCTTGATGCCTGAATGACGGCACACGTGGGCCCACAGCCGTGTGTAACATGGTACAGGTGCGCAGGCAATTGAGACACAGAATGCACATGCACCCCGAACACCCACGCACCCTGCTGCTTTCCCTTTCCACCCAGGGCCATCCCAACCCACCCCCCGCACAGGTAGGTCCTGACTGGGGCTCACGAGGAGCCGGGGAGGCCCGAGGCGACCCCCGAGAGCCCCAGAAGCAGCTGGAATTTCACTAGCACACACCGTCTGGTCACCTTCTCTCCCTTCTGCCCCAGACCTTGGCACGGGGCCTGTGACCCGGCTGAACCTTACCTAGCAACAGAGAGGTGCCGTCTCCCAGGGGGAATTTCTGATAGCGGGGCACGGTGAGGGGGGCGATGGCCTGGAACTTGGGGGCCAGCAGAGGCTCCAGGCGGGAGGCACAGGGGTCAGCAGCATGAAAGAGGTTGTATATCTGCTCACAGGCCGGGCGCATCTGGGCCACTGGGGCAAGAAGAGAAGGGCAGGGGAACCCTTAGGTACCCAGGATGGCCAGGCAGGAATCCACATCACGTGTCCCTTTGCACACGGGGGAGGGAGTGGGGAGGACCCCAGCCCCAGGCAGGCTGAAGTTACTGATGCTGGCCTCCGTGGCCAGCTCGTGTGGACGTGTGGACAAGACCTAGGGGCGTTTCACAGGCTTCAGGAGGTGGACTGGTGTTCTGGGGCAGACAGGTGACCCTAGCTCGACTCAGCCACCTTCCTCCCCATTGCCCCAGCTTGGCCCCTCACCCTCCAGGGCGGGCATCACGGTCTTGCGGAGGGCTAGCACCAGGCCCAGGGGCGAGCCAAAGAGGAAGAAGCCAGACACCTTGAAGTCAAGGCGGGTGGGGCCGTCCGTGGCCTCTGGGGCTGGGCAGGAGACGGTGCTCCCCCGCCGGGGTTCTGCTGGGGACGTGCCAGCCTGCAGGCTGGCCAGTAAGGAGGCAAGTAGGGGGAGAAAGGAGGGGGGTAACAACGTGGGTGGGTGAGGAGAGCACAGGCCCTATCCAGGCTGACCACACAATGCCCCTAGCATGGCCCCCTAGCCGAGTCTCCAACATGCTACTCTCTCCTCTCCATGTCTTTGCCTAGGCTGGTCCCGACGCCTGGCATGCCCTCCCTCCTCACCTCAACATCTTCGATTCCCTGACTCCTTCCGCTAATGGCGTCCCCTCCCTCCAATTACTTGGTCTTTACTTTACTTGGCATTTCCCTCAATCGAATGTAAGTAGGGAGTGTTTGGTTTTTGTATTTCTGGCCACTTAATAAATGCTTTTCAGCAAATTAATGAAACAGCATCTGAGGCTTTCAAGCCACAGAGGCCTCCAAGGTGTCCAATCCAATCCCCTCATTTGACAGATGAAGAAACTGAGGCCCGGAGACCTTACGGAGCTTGTCCAAGATCTGCTAGAAAAGGAAGGGCTGAGATTTAAACCCAGGCCTCAGACTCCAAATCCAGGCATCCTTCTACACCCCCACGCTCCAAAGGACGCGGGAGACACCCTGACAGGTTGGGGAGTGTGGAGACACCAACCTGCAGTGAGAGGACAGGGAGTCAGGCTCTGGGGCTGTGCCATCGCTGGGCAGGCGCTGGGCGGAGAGAGAGCCCACAGCCTCCACGCCGTCAGCCAGCGGATCCCGGCCCGGGCCCTGCTCCGGGGACAGCAGTTCATTGTTCTGGAAGGAAGGAGACGACCCTTGGTTGGGGGTGTCCCTTCTGACCGTGGGGTGGGGGTGGCAGAGGGGCCACACCAGAGGCAGAGTGCCCACGTCCGTGAGCATCAACCCATTCAGAATGGGACAGGGAGGGCCATCAGAGGGAGGAGGGAGGAGAGAGGGGAGGGAAGGAAGGAGGGAGGGAAGGAGGGAGGAGGGAAGGGATGGAGGGAGAGAGAGAAGAGAGGAGGGAGGAGGGAAGAGAAGGAGGGATGAAGGAGAGAAGGGAGGGAGAAGAGATGAGGGAGGGAGGAAGGAAGAAAAGAGAGGAGGGAGGGAGGAGGGAAGGGGGAGGGGAGGGGAGGGAGGGAGGCACTAAACCAAAAGACAGAGAAGAGAGGAAGGGGAAAGGATGGAAAGGAGAGAAGCATTGCAGGCCCCCAAGCACTGACCATGCTGCCCCGGCGGCTGCTGCTCAGGCTCCCCAAGCTGGCGTTGGCACTGTAACACAGTGCATCGAAGCCCAGGATGCCACCGACGCCGTCTCCAATCAGCACTACCTGGGGAGGGGCAGATGCTGCCTGAGCCCATGGTCCTGGAATCGCTCCCCCAGCCCCGGCCCCAGCCCCTAAACACTCCTTTTCTTGCTTGGCAGTCACTGCTCCTCCCCAGGGATGCCGTCTGCCCCCGAAGGCGACCTCCTCAAAGGGTGTAAGGGGTTTGGGGGCGAGGCAGGGGTGGGGGAGGGCATACTGCTCCCGGGGCCAAAATGGTCAGGCTCGAAGAGGCTCGTCTGAGTGCCAATGGGACGGCGGAGGAGAATGAAGGTGGGTGTGGTGGCCTAGAAATGGAGGGGACCACAGGCCACCTGGAGGAAAGCAGAGTGCTCCCGTCTAAGAAGTCCACACTGGGGGCCTGTGCCCTGGTCAGGCCCCAGCTGGAGTATAAAGTCCAGGGCATGGACAGCTGAGGTGGCTTTAGGCTGGGAAGTCATGCCCACTGGTGTGGACAGGCCAGGGAGATAGGATAGTGGGGTCCGAGCATTTCTCATGTGTGAGAGGACGCATTCTCTACCGTAGCCCAACAACCTCCCGGAAGGGGGTGCCCACTAGCTCCAGGGATGGTCCCTTCCTCCGTGGAACAGCTCTGGCATTTCAAAGCTCTTCCTCACACCCAACCCCACTGGCTTCTCATCCCCGCAAGGCTCCCGTGGGGCCCTCTGAGGCCAATGTCCCTTCCCCAGCTCCGCCCTTCAAAGCCTTGAAGACTGGAGATAGCCATCCTGTCCGGGCCCCGCCTGCCTTGCCCCACCCCCCATTTGGTCTTTGCAACATCCCGGGGTCCTTTCCATAGGCTCTGGCTCCTTCATGGCCTTCCCAGAACGTGGCCCCGAGATTCCCGATGGGTCTGAACAGGGCAAACAGCAGCCACATCCTCCGTCCTGAACACCAGGCCCTTTCAAATCTGGGCTAAGACGGTGTCAGCTTTCCTGGGGCCCGTGCCCTGCCCTCTGACTCACGCTGAGCTGGGCACCGTCCCTGGAAATGCCCTCATCTCTCACAGATTCACTTGGCTCTCCACGCCTCCCTTGCATTCGATTCATGAAGTCCCAGCATATGCTATTTGCCTGTCCTAGGTTGCCTATCATTTCTTCCAGCCCGCTGGGATTTAGGGTGGGGTGGGGAGAAGCAGACCGGCTTCCTCTAACCCCTGCGTCCCCCCGGCTCGTCCAGTCATCCCTCTGGGACACGGAACTAGACTTGCCCAAGGTCACCTGGACAGGCCCCGGCAGAGTAACGTTGCCCTGCTGGTTCTGCCCCTTCCCCTCCCCCCCCCTCATCTGTGTCTCCTGGCCCCAGGTCGTTCCCGCCTTCCGGGCATCGCCCGACCCTGGGAAGCCTCCCTGGTGCCCCTTCCAAGGTCCCCCTGACCTGCCCACAGAAGCCGGTACCCTCGGGCGAGCGCAGGAAGGCCGCGTAGGCCTGATTGGTGCGCGCAATGACGGTGGCCACGGCCCCTTGGTAGCGGGAGGAGGAGGTGGCCAGCAGGGGCAAGGCGGCCAGCGGGATGTGGTCCTGGGAGCGAGACAAGCTATCCCCATCGTGGCTGTAGGGACTTAGGCTGTGGGGAGGGGACAGCAAGAGGTCAGAAGCCAGAGCATTTCCCTCTCCCCCCTCCCTGTCCAGGAGGTAATGAGCCCCGTCCCCCACACCTTCCTCACTGGAGATAAAACGGTTTTTTGCCCACCCTCCTGTTTCCTCCCTAGCTCATCGCCCACGTCCCTCCCACGCCTTCCCCTCAGCCCCCCAGGGAGGTACTTGGAGACGAGGGCATAAGCTGCCGCGCAGATGGGTGGGCAGGGCACCAAGCGCAGGGCCACGTGGCCCAGGGCCTCGGGAAAGTGCACGCGGGTGACGGCGTCGAAGGCTGCACTCAGGGTCTGCACGTCCGCTTGCTTGGAATCCACATCTCCCGGTCCGGCGTCCAGAATGTTCCCACTGTGCAGGATGAGGAACAGGGCGTGCACGGCGCAGACCTCAGGACCCAGGTCCCCAGCCCCCAGACCCTGGAGTAGGGACAGGAGTGTCAGCCGGCATCGTGGGCCCTGCACGAGGCCACAAGAGGTACCTGGGGTCAAGGGCATGTGGGGGAGGGCAGGAGATCCCTTCAGTCGGCCGGCTGGTGACTCCCTCTTTGAAATAGCCATTTTAGCTACCAAGATGCCGCCATGGTGCAGGAGGCAGACAGCTCTTCATTCAGGAGCTCCCTAGAGCAACGGCCCACCTTTCACGAGGCGCTAATCTCTACTGTTTCTCGGCCTTGCTATCAGCGCCCTCCAAATCCAGGACCCTGGGGTAAAGCCCTGGTCGCACCGCCCTCGTTACAATTCCGTGTGACACACATACACACCCATGGGTATACGCTAGTACCCATCTGTGGCCAGAAATGGGCTGCAGGGGTCCCTCCTCCTCCCAGAGAGGTAGCGAGGGAAGGGCTTCGCTGGGGGGTGACTCTGGGAGGGAGTCTGACTCACCTCAGGGTCTCTGGATGCTCCTGCCCCTTCTCCTTCACCCTTGGTGACCTCAGCCCCGGGGTCTGCAGGGTCTGGAGGAGGAGGCCAGTGAGGGCACAGGCAGCAGACGGTGCCCCCTCCCCCACACAGCCCTCTTCCTTTCCTACAGAGGGAGGAGCCTGGCCACCTAGGGCTGGCACAGGGAAGGAAGGAGAGGTATAGCCGGTCACCCAGCTGGCCCGTGGCCAGGCCAGGGCGGCCCTCGCTCCTCAGATTGCCGGCCAGCACCTTTCCCACGACGCCTGGCAGGCAGCAAGGCTCGGCCAAGCAAGGATCTCTCCAAGGTCCGAGATCAGCGTCAGCGCCCGGAGGAGCCCGCACACGTCAGCCGCGGCTAAGGGAGGCCTCCAGGTGCTCACCCGAAGCCCCCGTGGCCGCAGCTGGGGAGGCAAAGGCGTCAATGAAGTCATTGGAGTTCCACTTGGTTATCTCCTTAGGAAAGACGTCCTCACTGTCCGAGAAGCCTTCTGCAGAGGAGGAGAGCAGTGCCAGGGCCCGGAAGCAGAGTGAGGACAGCGCCCGAATGGAGGAGGGGAGCAAACGGGCAGGGAGAGGTTCCTGCCAGAAGCTTGCCTCCAATCCCCAACGCCACCAGCTCCAGGGAGTCCTCTGTGCTGTCCCACTGGACCCCCCCTTCCCTCTGCTCCTCTCTGATGTCTGTGTCATAGAAGACCGTGCATTGAGTCATCTGTGTTTGAGGGTTCTTCACCTACTCTCTGGAGGCTCCAGGAAGGCAGGCACTGAGGTCTGATCTCACCTTTCAGCACTGCAGGCCCAGAGGCCTTCACACAGTCCCTAACCTCATGGCTTTGAGCAGGTGCATCTGCCCCCAAAGCCCTTCCGTGATCCCTTGGGCTGTTACGGTGCATCCCCCTCCCCCGCCCCAGGCGATGGGATCTCCCGTCCTTGACATTTCACAGGCCTTCTGATCACTGGTCTACCACTATGCCCACCCTGGAGAATGGCAGCTGCTAAGGGCAGCGGCCGTCTGTATTTTGTTTCCCTGGCCCCTAGCCTCGTGCTTGGCATATGGTAGGGGAGGAGAGAGAGAGGAGTGAGAGGAATGAGTGAGGAAGGAAGGGAGAAAGGGAGGAAGGAAAGGAGGGAAAGAAGGAGGGAGGGAGTGAGGGAAGGAGGGAGGGAGGGAAGGAGAGAGGGAGAGAGGCAGGGAGGGAGGGAGGGAAGGAGAGAGGGAGAGAGGCAGGGAGGGAGGGAGGGAAGGAGAGAGGGAGGGAGGTAGGGAAGGAGGGAGGGAGGGAGGGAGGGAGGAGGGAGGGAGGGAAGGAGAGAGGGAGAGAGGCAGGGAGGAAGGAGAGAGGGAGGGAGGGAGGGAGGGAGGAAAGGAGAAACATACCATGTGCATCAAAGAACTCGTCCTCCGAGCTGTTCTCTGAGTCCCGGGCAATATTCTGCATCCGCCACTCAGACAAGCTCTGTGGGGACACCCCCCCTGCAAGGGCCCCTCTCGTCACCCCCTGGAGGGCCTGAGCTCACAACTCCAGCCCCTACCCTAGCCAGAGCCTGTCAAAAAGTCCTCTGGTTAAAGCTGGAATACACCATAGAACTCTCTGGAGATATTTTACAAATGAGGAAACTAAGGCCCCCAGGAGAAGGGCCTAGCAGCTTTGGTCAACTCTTTCCAAGCCGCCCTTCGCCCGCTCGCCCGGCTCTCGGCATCGCTGAGGCTCCCCTGCTTGAGCCCGTTCCCCACCCCCACCCCTGAGCTCATTTGCTCTTCCCCTCCCCCTCCTCACCTCCGTGCTGGGAGGAGTAGGAGGACCGAGGGGACGAAGACCACTGTTTGGAGAAGCTGTCAGTGTCCGGGGAAGCATCAGCCGCTGCAGGGCCCTCGGGCCCCTCGGGACTTCCTGCTTGGCCTGCAGGGGCCCGGCCCTCCGTCACCGGCTTTGCGGCGGTGGCCTCAGTCTCTTCCCCCTCAGGTGTGATGCATTTGGCCATCTTTCTGGCCAGCATGCGGGCCGTCTCCTCCTCTAGAGCCCGGATGTCTGCCATGCTGAGCTCGGTCCATTCATCCTGCCAGCACCAGGCCTGGCGGTGGGCTCGAAGCATCACCCTCCGTAGACCTGGGAGGGAAAAGCCGGGGCCTGAGCTGGGGCGGGGCAGGGAACCTCACCTGAGAAGGCCCCATGGGTGGGAGCTGAGTGTGGGGGTGGACAGGGCCCAGGGAGCTTGGCATGGGCCGGAGGCCACCGGGCAGGGGCCCCCTAGCCAGGGCTGGGATCCTTTCTCTTCCATGTCGCCCCTCACCGACATCATGGATGAACTGTTCAATCTTGGCCTGCATGCCCCAGTAGCGGAATTCCACCTTGCAGAGCTTGTAGGCGCACATCAGGGGGCCCGACTGAGCAGCCAACCGTGCCCAGTCGTCCCCGAGGGGCCCCCGACCCGTCTTGGCCGAGCGGTACAACCTCGGGTCCTCTTCAGCCTTGTACTCGCCAGGGGCCACTGCGTCCCGGACGATGTCGATGGTGTCTGGGGGTGAGGTAAGGCAGAGCCTTCCTGGGACACCCAGGCAGGATCCCAGCAGGGCTTGAGAGCCACTTAATCCAACCCCTATTTTACAGATGAAGAAACTGAGGTCTAGGGAGGCTAAGGATCGATAAACAGCAGAGAGAATCTCCCGCATCACACTGCCCACCCCAGGTACCCCGTGTCCGCCCTCCCGGTGCCTTGTTCTCATTCGTTTCTCAACACCTGTTAGGACTGCATGACGACGTTCCTTATGCTTATTTGGGTTTGGGGGTTTGGGTCTGTATGGGGGATTCCTGGCGCGGAAACTCCCTCCCTCACTGATCTTGGCAAATGCTCTGCAGCGTAGAGATGCCCGAGCCCTTGAGCCAGCCTGGGGCGAGGAGGGACTTCTGCCTCCGCTGGGCCAGGCTAAAGACCCAGAAAGTGAAGGACTGGCCCAAGGTCACACAGCCGGCTCTTCCAGAAAGGCCCTCCCCCATCTCATACCCAGGATGCGCTGCCTCCTCTCTGTCCCGCTCAGGTTGAAGACGTTGGGCTGCTGACCCCCATCAGGCCGGTAGTAGGTTTCTATTTCAATGGAGAATTTCTCGACAAAGGGGCAGGTGTAGCTGTGGGAGGGCCAGGGGCCAGGTTTAGAGTCGGGGCTGCTGGCATTCATGGCCTGCGGCCCAGCGTCCCCCATGTCCCCTAGGGAAGCCTCCTCCAGCTCCCACCCAGCCCCCACAGCCTAGCAGCCCTGGCTGGGCCTAGGCTGGGCCCCCTGTGTCCCAGGGGGTGCCCTCAGGGGCCGGCCACCCAGCCCTGCAGCCCAGAAGCCCTGGCTGGGCCTAGGCTGGGCCCCCTGTGTCCCAGAGGGTGCCCCCAGGGGCTGGCCATCCAGCCCCGCAGCCCAGAAGCCCTGGCTGGGCCCCCCCCCCGTGTCTGAGGGGGTGCCCCCCCCCGACCGGCCACCCCTTCCCTGAGCCTCACCGCGTCCTGGTGTAGGGGTAAGCATTCCAGGACTCCTCTTCCACCTGCAGGGCGGCCTTGGGCAGCAGGGCCCGGAACCACCCAGGGATATGGGAGCCCACGTGGTAGACCTTGTGGGTGTACTGCCCGCTGCCCCCTGGCCCGTCCTCATAGGGCCTGTTGGCCAAGATTTCCACCCCGCTGCCCTCTCCGCTGGACTCTTCTCGGCTCTTCTTCTGGAAAGGCGGGGAGGTGAGGTCAGGGGCTGGTGACCTGGGCCCTGCTCTCCCTCGCTCCCCTCCAGTCCTCCCCCCCCATCCAGCCTTGGCCCCCCTCCCCCATCCTCTCCTCCCTCATCTCTGGCACTGCCTCCCCCACTCAGCGCTTCCCTCCCCGTCTCCGCGCTGCTCTGCATTCTCCGGTCACCTTTCCCCGGCTCTCCTGCCCCCTTTCTGCCTCTCTCTGGGGTCTCCCCTTCCCCATCACCTCCCTCCCTCTCCTGTCATCCTCTTCTCCATTATTTCCACCTGCCCTGTGCTCTGCTTCCTCCCCACCTCCTGCTCTTCCCCTCCCCCATCAGCGCCAACCCAGCATCCCTCCGCCGCCCCCTCCTCCCGTCAGCTCCCCAGGGCCCCCACCTGGATCATGTACAGCTGGGCCACCTGGTACTCTTCCAGGCTCATGGGCAGGAGGATGTGGTATTCCTTGATCAGCATGGTGCCCGCCTGCCTGCTGCCCGGCCAGCAGAGACGGTGCCCGCCTGCCTCGCCTCACCTCCCCTCCTGGCTTGGGATCGGGGCGCGCCCGTCAGGGTTGGGGCGAGTTCAGGGTGTCCGGTCCCCCGGCTCGGGGAGGAGCCCAGCCCTGGCCCCAGCCGCCCTGTGCTTCCCCGCAGCCCCCCAACCCCATCGCCCGGCCCGGTCCCGGCCCCACGCCTGCCCCCCGCATGGAGGAGGAGAGGGGAGGAGAGGGGAGCCAGGGAGGCTAGGAGCGGCAAGCACAGGATAGGGGAGAGGAGGGAGGAGGAGGGGTGGGAGGAGGGAGGAGTGGGGAGGCGGGAGGAGAAGGGAGGAGGGAAGAGGGAGGAGGGAAGGAGGAGGAGAGAATGAAGAGGGAGGAGGGATGGGGCAGAGAAGGAGAGAGCAGCGGTGGCGGCTGGCCTGCTGCAGGAGGCCGGAGGCAGGAGGTGCGGCTGCCTCCTGCCTCACTCGCTCCCAGGCTCCCAGGCTGGAGCTCAAACCGAGCACCCTCTGACCTCCTTTCAAACGCCACCGCCGCGCCCCACCCCCCCCCACCTCCCCCCGTTGCCGCGGCAACGGAGTGCTGACGCGTCCACCCCTGGGGGAGAAGAGCCAGCCCAGCCAGCCAGCGGCTTATGCCAGCCCCCCTCCCCCCAGCCTCTCCGGCTTCTACAGCTTGGCCCCCTCCCCCCAACCCTGTGCGACACTCTTCCCCTCCAACACCCCCCTACCCCATCCCCAACATCTCTCGTTCATCCGCCCCTCCCCCCATTGCCTCTTCCCTCTCTCCTAGGTCCTGACATCTCTAACCTCTTTCTTCTTCCCAAATATCCCCCTCCCCTGTCTCCAACCCCCAAGCTCCCCCCACCACCTCCACGTCCCTCCTCCCTCATCTCCCTCCGGTGTCCAATTCCTCCCTTCCTCTCAACATTTCTCTATCCAGTCCCCAACATCCCACTCCCTCTCCATTTCCCCAACCTCTTTCTATATTCCCCCGCCCCCTTTCCCCTTTCTACATCACTCCTCTCTCCCCTTACTTTGTCCCCAACGTCCCTCCTCCATTCTCCTTATCCCCTCCCCCTTACCATCACATCTCACCCTTATTCCCAAACCCCCCTTCCCTCCCTTATGCTCCCCCTCGCGCACATATCTTGCTCCCCAGAGGGCCTTGGAATGGGAAGGCAAGGGCAGGGGAGAAGGGAATCCCCAGCTCTCTCCCTCTGTTCTCTCCAATGCCCAGCCCCCTTCCAGGCTCTCCACCCTTCTCAGCTCCCAAGGTGGCCCCTTCTGCCTCAAACCTCCAGTTTCTCCCACTGTTGTTACTGGGTGAGGCCACCAGGCAGATAAGAGCTCTCTGAAGAGGCTCCCTTGAGAACCCCCCCCCCCTTTCCCCAACCTCTCCCCACCCCCAGCACAGCAGTTCAGATTCAGCCCCCCTTTTGAATCTTACCTCCCAGCCCCCCCTGAATTTCCTTGGGACCAGCAGGGCTCCATCCCAGCAGCACTGGTGCTCAGGCCCCCCTCAGGACCTCCAGGATTCACTCTTCTGGCCCCCTCCCTAAGGTACCAGCTCCTAGAACTACCCCCTCCCCACTCAGCCACAGGGATCCTGCCCCCAAGGCCAGTCTTGATGGTGGGAGGGCCCAGGCCTAACGGGCCATCCTCTTTCCGGAAGGAGGTAGGCCCAGACTGGGGCCCCAAAGGTTTGTAAACCTCTCAGAAGGGGAAGTGGGGCTCAGTGGTCTGGGCCCGCTTGGGCCAGACCCCCCTGGAGCTAGATGCGAGAAGACCGGGGTTTCTTTCCTGTTCTCCCCTGTGCCGTGGCCCTTCACATTTCTGCCAGCCTCCGCCCCTGCTATAGGTGTCAGAGAGTAACTCTGGAAGCTCTGCCAAATTACTTGCCCTCTGCGTTTTTCTGTAAGAGGGCCCTGTTGGCCTGAATGACCCGAGGTCCCTTCCTACTCCGGCATTTCCTTTTTCTAATGGCCTGAGCTCGGTGGTCTCTGAGGATGTCTGCCTCTCAGAACGAACAATGGCACATCCCCACCCCCCATCCCCACCCCAGCAGCTGAGTGGCCACCTCTGGCCCTCCACTCTTATCTCTATTCACACCCCAGTGCCTCTCCCTGGGTCTGACAGATGCCCCAGTGACTGGGCCAAGAGCCCGATATCTCTGTCAGGGCTCTGGAAAGGAAAGGTGTAGGTCAAGCCTCTGACCCGCCCCCCTCCCCCCACCAAGAAGCACAGAAGGGGAAGTGCTCCAACCGCCTTACGGTCTCAGAGCTGGGGACTTCAGGCTTGCGGCCAGAGTGGCTAGACAGCCCAGCTGTCAATCACCCTGGGACACAGACCTCGCAGGAGCCAGGCTCCCTGGGGAGGGGCCAAAGGCCTGAGCTGCATCTTTCTGACAGCACTGCCAAGCTGCCAGGCCCATCGGGCGAACAGGACGTGGGGGGGCCATGCAAGGACTCTCCTCTTGTGAAAACTGCCAATCAGAAGCATTTTGGAGGCCCACGACCCTCCCCAGTACTTCTGTCTTCCAAGGGGGCCCGAGCTGGGCAAAGGGAAACTGGCTGAGGGCCTTTCAGCTTGGCTGTGCAGAGGGCCCTACCCAGCTCCACCCTGGGAACTCGCCCCGGGGCAGACTGGGAGCCTGCATCTCTCCCAGAGGAGGAGGCGGGGACAACGGCTAGGGGGTCTGGGGCAGCCTGCCGCTCCCTGACCTCTTTTGGGCTCAGGGACCATCCGAACACATTGAGTTCTGGAACTCAATGGGACCATCGGGCCCACCCTCTCATTTTAGAGACGAGGAAACAGCTTCTGAGAAGGGAGCTAACTTTCCCACGGTCATCCAGGTCATCAGGGAGAGAGCTGGGATTCGCACCCAAGCCCTCTGACCCCAAACCTGAGTGTTCCCAGGCTCATCCCTAATGCCCCTTCCATCCAGGAGCGTCCAGGAAGGATGGCACATCACAGAATCTCACCCACGATGCGGACACGCTGAATGCCCCTGCCCACCCTGGCCTCGGCCAGGTCCCCTCTGGCCCTGCAGGCCCATAGCCAGCCAGCGATGTCCGCAGAGAACAACTCCAAATCTTTTATTTATAGAAAAAGAGCATTTTAGTAAAAGACGCTGAGAAAAGGCACCACCTCGAGCAGCCCTGAGGCAGGGCTGGGAGGTGGCGGGTGCCAGGGAGGCCCCAGCCAGAGGAGGGAGGAGTTCCAGTGTGGGATGGAAGGGGATGGGGGCCGAAGGTCAGTACTGTGCTGGGGGTGGGGAGGACGGCCCGAGCCAAGGACTCTCCAGCACCCACTGGCTACAGGGCGACCGAAGGAGGCCTAGAGACATCAGCTCCACTGTTTCTGCCTGGCACTGGCTCCAGGGTCTCCCATCCCACCCCACGTGGCTGTCAGTCACAGGACAGGAGGTTAGGAAGAAAAGAAGGGCACGAGGGGAGGGGCTCTGCTCCAAAAGGCGATGCAAAGAGGTGGGAAGGTCCATAGGGCAGAGGGGGCGGCACGCTGTTACGTGCGGGCATTGCGCTCTGTTTCTGCCAGGCATTCTCTGACCAGCGCCCGGGCGTGGATAATGCCTAGGGAAGGAAAAGAGATTTACTGGAGGGCAGCCCGGGATGGGACAGCCCAGCCCAGCCCGGCCTGGCCCTCTCAGCTTGGTGGTCATATTCCTTGTGTCCCAAAGGGAGTGGGATGCCACACACCTCGCTTCAGTCGCTCCATGGCACTCTTGCTGCCGGCGTAAGTGGGCCGGATCTCCTTGCCCATCTCTTCAATGACAGAGAGCAGGTCTGTATAGGTGCTCTGGGAGCCCTGGGAGCCAGGGGGCTTCATAGCCTGGAAGAAGACGAGCTGGTGGGAACCTCGGCCCGCCCCCAGCCCCCAGCCCCCAGCCCAGCTCCGCCCCGTCTCTCAGCCACTCACCTGCACATAGCCCATGGAAGGAGGCCCAAAGTCGTTGAAGAGGGGGCGGAAGGGGGCAGCAGCTCCAGGGGCTGAGCCTGAAGGGGAGGAGACACCGGTGGCTGCAAAGGATGGGGAACAAGGAAGTCGTCACAGGCATCTTCCTCAGGCTTCCCCCGGAGCAGAAGGCTGAGCTCTGGGCTGGCTAGCCTGGCCACCCCCAAGGGCCCGGCCTGCCCTCTGCCACTGCCTCCAGCATGCCCTCCGTGGATCTGGTTTGCATGTCATCTCTCCGGTCCGGGCCTGCACAGTCTGCCTTTGTGATCCCCCGGCCTGACAGACAACCCCCCCCTCAATTATACTGATGCCTTTTGTTTTCACGTTGCGGCCTGCGCCTCATCTCCCCCTGCCTCGTCACAAAGATAAAAAAACAAACCAACTGGCACCAAGATCGCGTAGGACAGTATATACAGCACTTGAGCACCTTGCAAAGAAAGGAGAGAGGCACTGTCCATGCTTCTCGTCTCCTCTCCTGAGCTTAGGGTGCTGGAGTCGTTTTTCAGTCTGTGACCCCTTCTGGGGTTTTCACTGCAGTGGTTTGCCATTTCCTTCTCCAGCTTCTCTGACAGACGAGGAAACTGAGGCAAACAGGGTCACACAGCTAGTGTCTGAGGCCGGATCTGAACTCAGGAAGAGGAGTCTTCCTGACTGCAGGTCTGGCGCTCTAACCACTGCACCCCCCAGCTGCTCTCCAGAGCTGGGAGACTCCAAATCACCTTTGTTAGGGTTCCTGTTACTCTGCACCAACTGTCCCTTTCCTTCTGCTGCTGCTCCCCTAAACTGCCTCATCTCAACCTTCTCAGGCTGCAGCTCAAAGAACTCGGGATGATGAGAACAAGGGGATCACTGTCCAAAATGACCTGTGGCTCCGGTCAGAGAACACAGAATGCCAGAGCCCCGACGGACAAGAGAACACACAACATTTGGAGTTGGGAGGGGACTCAGAACCAAAAACATGGCATGTAGAAGGATTAGAACCTAGAATATGCAGGTCAGATGGGGGAGGGGAGCTTAGAAGCTAAAAGGTAGCACGTGGAAGTGGGGGGCTAAGAACCTAGAATATGGCAGAGTCTGGGGTTATTAGAACTTTAGAATATGCAAGTCAGACCTTGGGGGCCTTAGAACCTACAAAGAGGCATGCCAGAAGCAGGAGAGGATGGGCTTGGGACCTAGAATGTGGCACATAAGAGCTGGGGGGGGGGAACCCCAGACCCTAGAATGTGATGTCAGAGTCGGGGGTTCAGAATCTAGAACATGGCGCATCAGAGTTTGAGGGTATTAGAACTTAAAAGGTGTAAATCACAGTTGGGACCTAGAATATGGCATGCCAGAGCTGGGTGGGCTCAGAAATTAGAACGTGGCAGGTCAAAGTCTGGGGACTCAGAACCTAGAATGTGGCAAGTCATAAGAGTTTGGGGTTTCCGGAACTTAGAATGTGCAAGTCAGATGGGGCCGAGTGGGTGTGGGACCTAGAACATGGCATGCCAGCTTGGGGGTGCTCAGAACCCAGAACATGATGGCAAGTCAGACTCTGCGGCGAAGAGAACCAGAGGAGAGGCTGAGCTTGGGAACCAGAACCTGGACGGGGGAGGGGCTCATAACTTAGAACATAGCACATCAGAGACTGGAGGCAGAGGGCTCAGAACCTGGAACACGGCATGTCAGAACTTGGGGGGCTCAAAACCTAGAACGTAGCATGTCAGAGCTCAGACCCTAGCACGCGGCGCGCCAGGGCTCAGACCTGGGCGGGCGGGCGTCCGTCCCCGCCCCCCTCCCAGTACCTCAGTTTCCCCATCTGTCCGTCCACTGGCCCCGGCGCGCTGCAGGATCCCCCCTCGCCCCGGCCGGCTGGCTCTCGGCTCACCTGAAGGGATGGGAGTGCCGGGCCCCTGCGCGCTGGAGCCACTCGTGCTGGTCGGCGCTGGAGCGATGGGTTTGTAGGACATTCCCAACTCTTCGGGAGGGCAGGCACCAGTCGATTCTCCTCCGGATTGGCCGAGCCGCTGAGGAGCGCGCGCTCTGATAGGCGCGCCGCCAGGAAGAGCCCGCGGCTCGCACTTGCGATTGGTGGCGGCGCACGTCACTCGACGCTCCCAGGCCGCCTTCTCATTGGTCAAGAGTCCCGGCCCGGACCTGCTGCAGATTGGCCCTCGTCGCGTCGGGCTTCGCACCTGTCTGACCGGGATTGGCGGGCGGAGGACGATGCCTGCGATTGGAGGGTTCGGGGAGGCAGGCTAGCGCGCTCCCAGCCCGATTGGCCCGGGAGGCAGGAGGGCGGGGCCGGCTGGCACCGGGAAAGGAGTCTCCGGTGTCGGGCCGCCTCGGCTAGCGCTGAAGGGTCCCTTAGGCAAGGCTCGGCCGCACGCGCTCTCCTTCCGACCGGTTATGCCGGACCGCTCGTGCTTCCCACGGCGAGCTCGCGCCGCTGCCCGCGCCGCCTCCGGGGCCGAGCCGCCTCGCGCTCTGGGGCCGCCGCCGGAGTCGCCGGAGACGCGCGCCGCCGCTCTCCCTCTTCGGACACCACTGGGCGCGAGGCTGTGACGTCAGGTCGCGCCCCGCCCCGACGCAGAAGCGTCATCGCGCGCGGTCCCGCCCCTCCTGGACCGCACGCCCTCGAAGCTCCGCCCCGTCTCCGTGGCAACCGCCCCGCCCAACCGCCCTCTCTCGCCCTGGAGACCCCCTGCTCCTCCCAGGTGGCCCCGTTCCTTTGTCTTCCTCAGAAGGTGCTCCCCTCGTCCCTCCCCTAGGCAATGCTCTTCCTCATCTGCTTCTTGAAGCCCCCCTCCCCGTAGACTCCCCGCCTCAGGAAACGCCCCTCTCCTTGGACTCTCCCAGGGGTTCCCCCCCCCCCCCCCGCTTACCCCCTAGGAGCCCCTTGTTCCCTCCCGGAGACAACGCACCGCTTCCAGGAGACCTGATTTTTGTCCCTTCCCAAGAGGCCTCCCCTTTTCTCTCCCAGGAGGCTACCCCTCTTTGTCCCCCCAGGAGATGACCCCCTCCTCATCCTCCCAATATGCCCTTATTTATTTTCCAATCAGGTCCTCATCCTTACCCCCCCCCCCCCCCAAGACTCTTTATTCTCTTTATTATCCCTTGGAGAATTCTTTTTTATCTCTCCCAGGAGACCTTCCTCCTTTTCCCCCTAGAAGCACCCCTTCTTTGACCTCCATCTTCATTCCACTTCAGCAGACTGCCCCCCTCCCCCCCCCCCCCTCCTCCCCCCCCCCCCCCCCCCCCCTTTTCTCCCATTGGAGACCTTCTTCGTTACCCCCGCATGTACTGATCAGTGGAGTCTTCCGCTTATCCCCCTCCCAATCCCCCCTGCCACCATTGCCCCCTCCAGGAAACTCCCCGTATCCACCATAGCAGACCCCCCCCCCAATCAATGAACAAGCCTTACCAGCCTTTGGGTCACTCTGGGTTTTCGTGCCATTGCCCTCTCCCGGCTCTCCTCCTCTCTGTCCTGTCACTGACCAGCTCTCAAGGGTTCCGCCATCCTCTCCATCTGTCCATCCAGCCCCAGTCTCTCTCTTGAGCCATCTTGAACCAGATCTCCGGCAGGCATGTCAAGCTCGGCGTCTTCCCCTCAAACCCTTCCCCTCTTCCCACCTTTCATCCTCTCGGTCAGTCAGGCTCTCAGCCTTGACTCTTCGCTGTCAAGTCCCAGATAGAACCCGGTGGGCTCTGCCTTCACAATGTCTTTTCTGTGTGTCCTCTTCTCCCCACTCACACTCCCCTGGGCCTTCCTGGCCCTCGTCACCTCTCGCCCGGACTGGTTCAGTAGCCTTCTGTGAATCTCTTCAAGCATCTTACTACTGTGACCTCTGACAACCAGCTGCCAAAGCCACTTTCCAGAAGTGGCATCTTCCTCAGTAAACTGGGTTATTGTTGTTATCCAGTCATTTTTAGTTGTGTCCGACTCTTTGTGGCCCCATTTGGGATTTTCTTGGCAAAGATACTGGACTGGTTGGCCATTTCCTTCTCCAGCACCTTTTATAGAGGAGGAAACTGAGGCAAACGGTGAAGTGACTTGCCCAGGGTCACACAGGTAGGAAGTGTCTGAGGCCAGATTTGAACCCATGGAGATGAGTTTTCCTGACTCCAGGCCCAGCGCTCTGTGCACTGACAGCACCTAGCTGCCCCCCCCCATACATCCTAGTGGCTTCCTGTTCTAGGATGAAATAGAAAATGCTCTGTGACATTTAAGCTTCTTCCTGCCTTTTCAGCCTTTTTGCGCTTCACCATCCTCTGTGTACCCTTATGCTCCCCTCCACCGGCTTTCTGGGCACTCCTTTTCTCTGGTGGTGCCCCACCCGTAGCCCCTTCTCTCCAGCTTCCCTGCTTGCTTAAAGGCAGTTCAAACCTGACTTCCCCCGCCCCCTTTCCCTCCCAGGTCATTCACTCTGGCCCTTGTTTGTACATCTTCCCCCATTGTGTGGCCCATTTGATGTGAGCTCTTAGAGCAGGGCTGTGTTCTTGCCTTTCTATCTCCAGGATTCATTAGCACAAAGCAGGCTTTGACTGAGCACTTGATTGAACAAAAAGAATGTCTGTTGCTGGGCCCTTCCCAGAGGTGATGGTAGTGCCCGTTAGGCCGCAGTTTTCTGACCAGGAAGTGAAAGGGGAATACACAAAGGGTGCAGAAGTGTGTTTCAGGGTGGGGACTGGCTCTGAGGAGTTTGGCTTCTCCCAGGCGTGGTCTGGGGGGGGGGGTTGACGTGTGGAGCGACAGTGGGGTAGGAAATGGCTCCGTGGAGTGGACCCATGATCTCAAAGGCAGCAGCTTCTCCTTTGACTCACTGCACACTGGCTGTTCTCCCACACCCAAGTGCCCCACTTCCCACCACAGTGTGAGCTTTGGGAGGATTAATAACTTTAACACTGGCATCTGGTTTGTTTTTTTCTGTCCGAGCAATGGGGGCCAGACAGAGGATCAGCTTCCCACTGATGGAGGAAGTAGGGGGGCAGGTGGAGGGTAGGGCACCCCTGCCCAGTGAGCAGAGCCTTTTCTGATCCGAGAGAATTGATTCATGGAAGCTTGTTGGATTGGATTGGAGTGGAGTCCCCGATGGGGGCTTCATGGTGCCAGCCACAGGGAGCCTGCCTGCTTGTCCTGTGTCCTCCTGTGACTTTCTTTGAAGCTGCTTTACTTTCTTAGAGTTTCTTCCTGTTTCTAAGTTTCCATCTGGGTGATATTCCCAGATGTTTCTGCAGCTTGGCCTGGTGGGAGCAGCAAGGGCTCCCCAGCTTCCTGTTTTGCTTCTCCCTAATTTAGCTTTGGGAGCTTGGGCAAGTCATTTCCCCTTTTTGGGGCTCGAGTTCCAAATCTGGAAAAAAGAAGAGACTGCCCTAGATGAATTCCAGGGTCCCTTCCACCTTCCAGCTCTGAAGTCCTATGAGCGCCTATGGATCTTCCTAGTTCCCACCTTCTCCTGGTCTCTGGATTTTGCTTAGCTTCTTTCTGGACAGGGAGGCCTTGGAGAGAGGAGTATATGTGTCCTTTAAGCACTGAGGGGATGGGGGTGAGATTGTAGAGAGGAGTATAATGACCCCTGCCTGCACCCAGAGAACTAAGGAACAAAACTGCTCAGGGCCCTTCTACTCCAAACTCACTTCACTTGTCCTCTTTGGGAACAGATAGTTCAGAGCTGACTTTGTCCCTGTCCTCCGCATCCCCAGGTCTGTCAGAAGGCCCTTCATGGGCTCACTCTTGGAGGGAGAAATAATTGGGAGGTCCTGGAAGAACTTCAGCCCAAATACCCACGGCCCTTGTATACTGCCCCAACACTGCAGATTGTAGGGAGAAATCTCCTAATTAAGGAGAGTTAAGAATTAATTGGGATTTTCTAGAGTAAGTGATGCTGGAGCCCACGCTGGCCAGCACTGGCACCTTCTGCTTGACCTCTCCATGTTTGGTAAAGGGGAGGAAGATGAGGCCAAGTTGTAAGTGAGGCAGGAAGGGAAGGGTGTCTTCTAGTCATCATGGCTGGACCCACCATCTCAAAGAGGTCATTTTCATCCATCCTGCTTTTTTCACTCCCAGGACCACCACCCTAGTTCAGGCCTTCCCCATCTTCTTTCTTAGATGATGGCTTTAGCCTCCCAAATGGTCTTCTGGCCTCCAGTCTTTCCTTCTCCAAACCTGCACATGCCCAACCTTCCATGTATGGTCCAAACTCAATCCTGGCATTCAAGGCCCTTTTAGAACCCACCTGAATAGGGGGACTCACTTTTACGTGCCTCCCCTCCAGGCAAACTGAAGGCTGGCCGTCTTTCAAGCTTGCTCTCTGGTTTTATCCTTGTGCTTGACCTGAAATGTCCTTCTCTCAGTTATCAAAATCCTGCCTGTCCTTCAAGGTCCAGTTCTGGAGAAAAACTCCATTAAACATTTCTTGTTTACTATTTGGAACCAATAACCCTTATAGGTCTTACCTTCCATACTTTGAGGCACCTGTATTTCTGTCCTGCTCCCTTCAAGTAGATTCTAGTTTTTAGGAGGGCAAGAGCCTTAGATTATGGAATCTTTCCATCCCTGTAAGTGGCCAGCGCTTTGCACGTAGTAGGTACTTATTAAGAAAAGGCGCTACAACCCACCTTATAGACAAGAGGCAGTTGTAATGGCACCCTTATCTTGTTCTGAACTTGAGAAGTGCAGGGCCAAAAGTGTGTCTCCTCTGAGCTCAATCCCAAAGGCAGCGCTGAGGCTCCTTCTCCACCTATAAGGTCTCCTCCCACAGGTGCTGGGTTCTGGGCAGCCAGAACCTGGTTACGCAGCAGTAGCCCAGCAAGGGGTAGAGTCGATGCAAGAACATTTGTTAAAGGTCACTGTTCTTGGTCCTAGACCTCACTCACATCTTTCCCAGGTAGAGCTTCAAGCATTCAGTCTCCAAAGAAGGGGCGAAAGTCCCTTGTAGTCAGACATCCAGAAACTTTATTATCATTCAGGATGAGGACAGGGCTGGGGAGGGACACACACAGGCCCCCCAGGGGCAGAGGGACTTTGGGAGAAGGCTTGTGGGGAGTGGGTAGAGACTGGAGGCTAGAGAGGGAGAAATCGGGGAACCTTACACATAGACACCTAGCTTAAAGGGGGAAGGGAGGTGATGGTAGGGGGAAAGGAGGCTTCTGGATGGGCAGCCCACGAGTGGGACTGGATGACCCTTGGGCTGTGGCTGAGCTGGCATTCCCGGGCTCGAGTCTCTTCACACGCATGCTGGAGGGTCAAGTCAGCGGGACATCATCCGGACGAACTCTGTAGGAGCAGGGCCCTCAGCTTCCCACATCGGGGGGTCCTGGGGCTGATCTAAATGTTTGGCTCTGACCTGGGGGGAGGGGTCTCACTCCAAACCCATCTGCCAGACTAGGCTGGAACCCGTCCAGCCTAGCTTTGGGGTTGGGAGGGAGGTGAGTAGAAAGCAGAGACTTGGGCCCTGGAGCTGACTTTGGAGACGGTGGGCAAGCGCTTCCTGCTTTTCTTGGGGTCTTGGTTTCCCCTCCCCACAGTAAGGGTCCTGCCAGCCAGTCCAGGGGTAAGGGGATTCCTGGGAAGGCTGGGAGGGGCATCCTGGCCCAGGCGGTACCTTCAAAATCAACGCGTCCATCCCCATTGAGGTCGATGTCATGCAGGATCTCGTCCACTTCCCGCTGGCTGAGTCGCTCTCCCAGCAGGGCCTTCAGGGCTGCACGCAGCTCTCCCAGACTGATCTGGCCATCTCCATTGGTGTCAAACTGGGGGAATCCCAGGAGGAATGCCCTCAGCCGCGGAATGTCCCCTCCCGAGCGGCCCCTAGCCCATGGCCCCAGAGCTCCCTCCTCGTCATCACCCCCCCCCCAGCTGCCCAGCCTCACCTCCCGAAAGGCATCCCTCAGCTCTCTGACTCCAATCATGTCTGCGGTTTCTGCCAGCATTTTGGGGCCCATCAGCTCTACGAAGTCTTCAAAGTCCACCTTCCCACCACCTAGCGTCCAAGGCAGGCAGAGGGCTGGGCCCCCCAGCTCCCAGCTGTAACTTAGCTATAACTCCTTTCTCCTACTCTGACCTACCCAAGGGCCCCTCCATCCTGGGCCCTCTTCCTCCTCCTCTCCAGAAATACCGTCTAGAGGAAGTCATTTGTAAGGGGTGTCCCCCAGACCTGACGTGTTGTTCTTCCTCCCCTCCCCCTCCTTTTGAGGCTCAGCACAGGGCAGGGGGGGGCTTCCTAGCTGCTAGTGCCCCCTATTACTTTAAATTTACTTTGGGACATTGAGAGGTTCTGTGATGGGCCCAGAGCCATACAGCCAAGGTGTGTCAGGGCTTGAACCCAAGGCCCCACACCCCAGCCATTACTGGCCCATTCATCACTCATGCTTCCTGGCACATATATGGTAGACACTTAATAAATGTTTACTGCATAAATATCAATATATTTGTGGTTTCTAATCTGATCCTGAGACAGTGTGGTATAGTGCATAGAGGGCTGGCTTTGGAGTCAATGTAATAATAAAAATAATGGCAATAGCTAGCATTTTTAAGGTTTGCAAAGTGCTTTACAAACATCTCGTTTTATCCTCACAGCAACCCTGAAGGGTAGGTGATACTATCTTCTTATTTTGCAGATGAGGAAAGGAGACAGACGGCGGTTAAGTGACTGGCCCTGGGTCAAGAACTCGGGAGTGTCTGAGGTCCAATTTTAACTCAGGTTTTCCTGACCGTAGGTCTTCCGCTCTGTCCATGATGCCACCTAGTGGCTGTCTTTGGCATGCAGGCTCTTTGGGCACTCCCTCCCTGACCCAGGCAACATCCACGTTCATCCTCCCCACCATGGAGGGTTTGAAGGAAGATTGAAAGATGGACCAAGGGCCTTAAAAAGAAGAGGCATGAAGCCTTGGTCCAAAGGGCTTGCCTAGCTCTGACTCCCAGGGCTGAGCATTGCATGGGCTGCCCCAAGAGCTCCATCTTTCAGGGAGTCCCTGGAGGGGGAATGGGGAGGGGGAAGCCTGAGGGCCCCTCGAGGTGGGCCAGGGACGTACTGATCTGCTGGGAGATCTCAATGAGCTCCATCTCCGTGGGCATGTAGCCCAGAGTGCGCATGCAGGCCCCCAGCTCGCGGTAGCCGATGTAGCCGTCCCTGTCTCGGTCAAACTCCTGGAAAGCGGTCTGTAGCTCTAGGAGAGGGACCATGTGAGTGTCCCCCCAACTCCCATCCCTCCCCAGATCTCCAAGGTTCATCTGGCATCCACCCCTCCCCCACCTCTGCTCCCTCTCTATATCGATCCTTCTTCCCTCTTCAGCCTTTTTTTCAGATTCCTCCTCCTCAGCCCTGATGCCCTTCAGGTTTCTGCTAGGTCTGTCCCTCCATCTGGTCCCCATCCCACTACTTCCCCCCTCCACCTCAGCTCCGAGCCCCAACTTACAAGAATTCTGGATGTAGGAACTGGAGCTGAAACAGGGGCAGGGAGGGGTTAAAGGAATAGGAAGCCTGAGGTGGGAGGGGTGGAGATGGTCAAGAGGACTGTGGGAAGAGGCCGGTCCATTTTACCTTCTATCTCTTCTGGGCGAAGCTCCCTGTCCTGAGAGGGAGACAGAGCCAGGTGATCGATGAGGCTTCCCCAGGGACCACTGCCCTCCCCCTGCCCACAAAAGACCCTTCCCATCCTTTGCTCTCTCTCTCCGGCTCAACCCTTCATGCCTCAGTCTTCCCTTCTCCCTGATCCCTCCTGGGGCCCCCTTTGGTCTTTGAGCTTTCATGCTGCACTTTGGGGTGCTGAGTCCACACTTCCAGCTCCCTGGCTCCCGTGGTGGCCCGGGCAGGGGGAACAGAGGAATCAGGAAGGAGGCCAGAGTTTCCTGCAGGCCCTTCCGCTCCAGAGCAAACCCCTTTCCCAAATGTTGCTCTCCCTGAGCGTCTCCCTCCTTTAAGACTCCCCCTCTCTTCATTTCTCTCTCCCCTCATAGCTCCCATCTTCCGAGCATCATGGGCTCCTGACTTTCTCTCTCCTTGGGTCTCTCCAACAAATCTCATTCACTTTGCCAAGTGCTTTACTAAATGTGCGCAGAGCATTATGCTAAGTCCTGGCCGCTGGGCACCTCATCACTTACTCCCCCTCTCTGTCCCTCCTGGGTGCCCCCTTTCCCTTCTGGGTGCCCTAGTCCTCCCTTTGTTCTATCAGAGGCTTGAGCCTAGGACAGAGTCCTCAGCTGGTGACAGTGGTCAGGGAGAAGAAAGGTCAGGCAAAAGGCAGTGCCCTGGGGAGATCCAGGGGTGTAGGAAGAGCAGGGCACAGACTGCAGGACAAAATGGGTGGGTGTGTGGTGGGCCAGGAGAAGCGGTAAGTACATACGATCTGGGTGGCTGCGATGCTGGGCCGGAGGAAGATACAGGCTGGGCCCACCAGGCGGTTAAGTACTGAGTAGGCTTGGGACTGTGACTCAGAAGCCACTCCCTGCTCCTCTGAGACTGTGCTGTGGCAGGAGCCCCCAGGGGACCCCAGTGGCCAATGGTCCTGTGGCAAAGCAGGGAATGAGAGGGTCCGGAGTGGGCGCTGTCAAGGGCTGGTGTGCCCCCCACTTATCTGGAATAGGAGCCCCTACAAGGCATGATCTGAGGGACACTGGGCTGGCCCTCTGTGCCCAGAAATGGAGCCCTTCCTGGCCTGGCCCTGGGTCTGGGCATTAATCACTCTTGCCCAGCTCTAGCATGTGTTAAAATGTTACCTATGTCACTAGGGAGGGGAAGGAAGGCCAACTCTTGACTTTCCTATGTCAACCAATTGCCAACCAGGGAGAGCCTAGAGCAGGCCACAAGAAGGGTGGGCATCCGACGGACATGTTGACATTGGAGACCAGGGTGGAGGGACCTGGAGATCAGAGGCAAGGGGCATTCTCTCCAGACCCAGGAAAAGCAGGGACTGGGCAGGAGTGAGTGAAGCTGGGGTGGAGAGCATCATCACAGTGCTCAGGGGTAGAGTGGGGAAATTTATTTGCAATTGTACCCAATCTCAGCCCCTTGGGGATTCAGGCAACTCCATAGAACATAGAATATCCAGGGTGGGAGGGACCTTGGAACACAGAATGTGTTAGGGATCTTAGAACAGAGTATCAGAGCTTGGAGGGACCTTAGAACACAGAACGTGTCAGGGATCTTAGAACACAGTGAGTGAAGCTGGGGTGGGACTTTAGAACAGAGAACAGAATGCCACTGCCAGAAAGGACCTTAGAACATCAGGCCCAGAGAGGTCTTTAGTTTATTGGGGAGGAAGTCCACACAGGGGCCCTGATTGCCACCATTGGGCCTCTATCATGAAGGCACACCTCCCTACCATCCCAATCTGCCCCCCACTCTATTCCTTGATCCCCACCCCTCACCCAGCCCCTCTAGCTCCAGCTCCCTCCCACCCTGTTCCCCTCCCACAGCCTCTTCTGACCCTACCCTGCTCCACGCTGTGCCTCACCCTCATCCCCTTGGCCTGGCCCTCCCTCCCCAGCCATCTCCCCAGTCTCCCCTCCCATACCTGGAGTGCCCTGCGCCTGGGCCGTTTGGCACAATTTCCCATGAGTTCCTGAACCATACCAGGCCCGGGGTCCTGAGAGGAGTTTGGAGAGCTGGCGGGTCTAGCCCAGGCCAAGCTGGTCTGGCCCCCACCCCCTTCCCCGCCAGTTGGGTCCAGTGAACTCAGCTTGTCCCCTCTGGTGTCCCTAGCTCCCTGGTTGTGAGGGCTTTAGGAGATTTCCCAGGGTTTTGTTTGGGAAGATTGGGGGCAGGTGGGTGGCACCAGGCCCCAGGCACGGGGCTGGGGCCCTAATCCCAGGATTATCTCTGTCTTCAAGTGGAGGGGGACAAACCTGCCCTGGGGGAGCAGGCGGGGGTCTCTGTTCCCCGGAAGCCTCTGCTTGCTGGGCGCCGCCCCCCCCCCACTGGGGGTTTTCCTCCTCCAGAATCCCCTCCCCCCTTAGCCATTCTGCTCCATCCTTAATCTCTCCACAATCTATGGAGATTTGTCTCCCCCGGAGCTGGGGGCTGCCTCTTGGATGGAGGCAGCCAGTACCCAGGGGCTGGGGAGTGAGACGACTCTCTGGGGGCTGGGAACCATCAACAATGAGGGTTTCCTGAAACAAGGGGCCCCCTGCTTCCTTCATCTCTTCTTTGCCCTGGAGCCGCAGAGAGCCTCCAACTCTCCCCTCCCCCCCCCCCACCTCCTCCCCAGCCCAGTTTCCTGAGGAATGACCCAACCCAAAGCCTGGGCAGTCATGGGGAAGAGAAGGGATCGCCATCCCTGGGAGGGCCCTCCACCAGCCCTCAGCCATATCTGGCCCCCTTCTAGGAAGGCTGCTTATAGTGAGGTCCTACAGACAAGAGCCCAAAGCCTTCTCTGCGGTCCCGAGGCCCTTACCGGCCCATAGGCAGCCTCAATCTGGGCAGCAAGCTCTTCAGAGCCCTGGAGCCCATGATCTGCGGAGTCGGGGGAGGGGCTAGCACTCAGTTTCCCCTTGGTCCCTGGTTCCTGGTGTCCCAGACTGGCCAGCACCCGACTGGGTCCAGGGTCTTCGTCAGGAGCCTTTGAGTGGTGGTCCTGAGGCTGGGCCATGAGCTCCCTGGCTGGGCCTGGCTTTGGAGGGTGATGTCTCCCTTGACCTTTGGTGCACTGGGGAGCCCCCCTGGAAAGGAAGGTGCACGGAACTCAACGGCCTCCCCTGATTTCTGTAACCCTGAGTCCTCCCTGCGCAGCTCCTCCCCAGCTGCCTGGCCTGAGCCTGAGCCAGGGGCCCCCCAGGGCCTCAGACAGGTCTGCTGTCTCCCTGACCCCCCACCTCATTCTTGCCTTGCTGCCTTGGGTTCCAGGAGGTGCCTGCTGGAGCCTGGGAAGGGAAACCTCTCTAATCTCTAATTATCTATCCCCCCTGCTCCAAGAAACTCAGAAACTCTCCAGAGCCCCTGCCCCAACCTCCTGGGCCCCTCCGGAAGATTCCGATTGGACTTGAATTCTGGCTTATTCTTTCACCTCATCCTGCTCCTTCACTGGCTGGGGTGCAAAGTCCTAGCCCTGGACATGTGGCTAGGCCTCAGTAGGGGCAGGGTGAGAGACTCTGCTGGGAGGGGAGCAGGAAGGAGGAAGAGGTGCAATGTTGGGGCTCGCCGTTACCCTGCCTACGGCCTGGAAGGACCCTGTGGTCAGAGCACAATCCTGCCTTAGTTACATGTCACAATTCCAACCAGCCTCTCACCTTAACTGAGGCCTGCTGGCCTCTACCTGCCCCTGGGGCCCCCTTCTGCCTCCTCCTTCTTCAGGCAGCTCTCTAACCCCATGCCCACAGCCCATCTTTGGACCCCACAAGGAATATCCAGGTCCTTCCCTTCCTGGAATCCTGCCCATGCTCGCCTTACTCTTCCCTCCTAAGGTCAAGGTCCTCAGCCCTCCAAGCCCAGCCCCTCTCACCAGCCTAGGCTCCTGCTCCTCACTGCCGGACAGAAGGAGGTCAGTTTGTCTCAGGCCCAGCCCAGCACCAGGCCCTCTCATGTTTTATTCACCTGCCCCACCTCACTGGCCCTTTGTTAGTGGGAACCAGATCCCCTGGTAGTCTCACTGCCACCTGAGCTAGGCCCTGCCTGCCCCTCCCGGACCTCCTCCCCAGCTCAGATCTGGGGCCTGCAGACAGGTGTGCCCTCTCACCAAGACAGCTTCTTCTGCCTTTGCCAATGCTACCTTTGTCATGTTGTTGGGGGTGAGGGCAGGAAGGAGGCCTCTTTTGCCTAACCTTGGGGTGAGAAAATGGCTCAGAGACTTCATCTGGACTCCTCACACTCAATAGCTGTGTTCCCCTACAAGTGTGTGATCAATGAAAGCTTTTCCACACAGCCAGGATATTCATTCATTCATTCATTCATTCACTCACTCTCTCATTCACACAGCATTGCTGGAATGTAACAGGTACCTGGGATCCCTCAGGACCACTGTGCTCAGTTCTGGGCCTACCAACATCCGGGAAAGATATTGACAAACTCAGTTTCGGCCAGAGGAAGGTGACCAGAATAGTGGAAGGATTGGAGGCCTTATTTTAGGAAGATCAATGGAAGGAACTGGGAATGTTTGGTCTGGAGAACAGAAGCCTCAGGGCTGGGCCTGGCTTCTTTCTTCCAGTACTAGAAGGTCTGTCATGGGAAATAGGGATAGATTTGCTTCACTTGGCCCAGAACTAAGAGCCCCCTCCCCAAATCCCATTGTAATTATGTTGTCTGTGTTTTGCCTTTGAGTTCCAAACAAGGACAATCTTCCCGAGAATCCCAGCTGGCCAAAAGGCAGGTCTGGAGCCCCAAGTAAAGTCTGTTGCTGGGCCGGCAGCTGAGGCAAAGTGGCCAGCCCTTTCTCCAGGGGCTGCTGCTACTGAAGAGCGCTGACTACCTCCTGACACAAGGCACAGGCTCAGGGTGCAGGAGGAGAGCACATGTGTGGGTATGGTCAACACTGGAATTTGTTTTACTTAACCAAGCCTTTTGTTACAAGGATTGTTTTCCTTTTCTGTTTTTTCCCAATGGGAGGATGGGAGAGAGAGAAAATCAATGAAACATATTCATTGAGACAAAAATTAAATTAAATAACAAACCAAAGAATTTGTCTGACCTAGTTCTTGCTGAGGCCAATAGGCCCTCTGAGTTTAGGATAGAGTCTCACCCAAAGCAAGAGGGATAGTCTGTTGTCCCCCCTGCTCCCTCCACTATCACTCAGGGCTAGGACTGACACCTCCAAACCAAGCTAGGTGGTGGCAGAAGAGACAGGGAAAGGACTCAAGCAGAGATGTCACCAGGGAGAGCCAAGCATGGCAGCCTTCAGGCCATGCAGAAAGAGGTGATTGTATAACGAGAGAGTCACAGACCTGGAGTCAGGAAGGCCGGAGTTTGAATCCTGCCCCAGGCACTTACTAGTGGGCCGGTCTCTTCCCTTGGGCCCATGGTTTGCTCACTGTAAAATCGAGTTGAATCTGATGATATCCAAGGTCCCTTCCAGCCCTAAATTTGTGAACCTGTGGGAACAATCCCTGGTGGTCTGGGAATCCTGGGAGGGCTGGAGGGAAAGCAAAGGGCAGCTCTGATGATTTTTTAATAAGTGTATTATTTATTTATTTATCGAGGCTCTGATGTTTTAGAGGGAGGGAGGGGCTCCCGCTGGGGGTGGGGGCACGTCTGACTGGTTTCCCAGTCACATGCCATCTCAGCCTGAAGCTGGCTGAGGCTCCCGCTGCCAGGCAGCATTGGAGAAAGGGTTTCTTCCTGCCTTAATCAGGTGCTTTTCCTTCTCTGAGATTGTGTGGGACCCTCAGTGGCCCCAGGGAGCACCTCCCCTTCCCCTTGGGACTCATTGGCCCTTTCTAGGCAGCAAGGTGGTGCAGTGGCCAGAGCCCTGAGCCTGGAGTCAGGAAGACTTGTGTTCAAATCCAGCCTTAGACACTTACTAGCTGTGTGACCTTGGGCAAGTCACTTGATCTCTCCTTGCCTCAGTTTCCCCATATGTAAAATGGGGATAATAACAGTACCTATCTCCCAGGGTTGTCAGGCATGTAGTAGGAGCTATATACCATTCTCTTCCCTCTCTCTTTAATCCTTGAACCCTCACCTTCTAAGGACTGAGGGAGGTGTTGTGGGCATCAGTGTAGGTCTCTCTGAGCCTCAGTTTCTCTATCTGTAAAATGGAAACGATCATCCTTGCTCCAGCCATCTCATGGACTTGGGCAGTCAGTCCTGGGCAAAGTCTGAAGAGTGAGCTAGAAACATGGATCTGGATGGAAGAACGGAATGGGCCATGGGCAGGCAGGCAGGAGGTTTGGGCTCTAGGCCCAGCCTGCCCTAAGCTAGCTCCGAGACCCTGAAAGGGCTGAACTAGACGATTTTTGAAGTCCCCTCCCTGTTAGAACTTGTTGTCATGACAACAAAGCCCCCTCCTGTCCTCTGACTCTGACCCGCCCGGTGCAGACCCTCCTCCCCTCCCCCTGGACTGTGGCAATGGGTGCCGGGCGTCTGCCTGCCGAAGGTCTCCCCTCTCTGGTCCATCTCTATTCAGCCGCCAAAGGGATTTTGTAAAGCACAGCTCTGTCTGTGTCACCCCCTACTCAATAACCTCTAGGGCTCCCTATGGCCTCCAGGAGAAAACACAAAACCCTCTGTTTGGCCATCAAGCCTTTCCCAACCTGGCAGCTCCCACCTTTCCAGGCTCCTTACACCTCACTCCCTGCCACACCCTCGTCCAGCCACTGCGGGGGGGCCCCCCCCAATCTCGTGGCTCTGGGCATTTTCTGTCTCCGTCCTCCAGGCCTGGAAGGCTCCCCCCCAATCCCACCTCCTGACCTCCCTGGCCTCCTTTAAGGCCCAGCTAACACCCCTCTCCCCCAAGCCTTCTCTATGCCCTCTTCATTCCATAGCCTTCCCTCTGTTTCTTATTCCCCATTCATCCCGTCTGCACTTGGTTTGTGTGCATTTACCAGTGGTGTTAGATTGTGAGCTCCTTCAGGGCAGGGCCTGGCTTTTGCCTCTTTATTATAACCTCAGTGCTGCCAGAGGACCCAGCACTAAGTAGTACCCCATAAGGACTTCCTGAGGGAATGCACAGATGCCTGGACTTGAAGCCGGGAGGACCTGGGTTCAAATCCTACCACTGACGTGTCACATTTCATCAATTAGTTAATTCATTCAAGAAGCATTTATTTATTATTTTAATGGTTTCTTTTTATATCATCATTAATCTTGAGTGTAGAGCTCTCCCCTCCCTCCCTTCCCTTCTCTTCTCCCCTACCTTCCCCTCCTCTCACTCCTCCCCCACCCCCCAGAACCACTCTTTGTAGTAAAGAATGAAAAACAGAGAAAAAAGCAGTTTGGGAAAACCAGCGAACACACCGGGACAATTTAACAGTGTATGCCTCTAGTAAGTGCCTACGGTGTGCCAGGCATTGTGCTGGGTGCTGAGGATGCAGAGACTTCTGTTGGCAGAAACAACATGCACTCAGAGAAGCAAAGAGGAAATGGATGGGGGGACATTAGCACCTGGGGGCCTGGAGAGGAAGGAGCGGAGTCCAGGCAACAGGAAGCTGCCGCCTCCCCCCAAGCCCGTTTCCCTTCTCCCTCTTCTTTGCCTGGCGCTCCCCCTGCAGCTGTCAGCCCCTAAGCAGCAGGGCCAGATCAGCCCCCACACATCTGTGCCATAGGATTTCTCTTCTCAAGCAGAATTCATGGTAACCAGGTCAGCAAATCCTCACCACCCTCAGGGCCATGTTACAGAGACCCAGGGATGGGGATAGAATTCCATGAACACGCCTGGCCCCATGTCAGGGTTCACAGGCTGAAACTTGGCACACTTAACGGGCCAGGTGCCTGGCACCGAGTCCCAGACATCCAGGCCGGCACCACGACCTGCAGGATGGAGGAGGGAGGGAGGCCTGCGACCTTTCAGGGCCAATATCGGCCACCCCCGGCTTCTGCCTGACCCTCCAAAAAGATTCTGGGAAGCTGGGGAGGAGGGGGCATCTTCACCTGACTTCCAGCAGGGGGGTCTGTGCTCTCTCTCTGAGCCCTGCAGGGATGACCAGCATTTTTAGTTCCATTCTACAGATGAAGGACCAGAGCATCAGAGAGCGGGTGACCTTCAGAAGGTCACAGGAGGATAAGGTGGCCGAGCCCAGACACTTGACTCCATCCTGTCGCATCCTATTTCCTTCCTTCAAAGTTCAGCTCCTACAACACGAAGCCTTTCTGACGGCCTCAGCTGCTGGGACCGCCCTCCCCTGCCCCCTAAACCTGGCTTGTGTTTTGTACATATACAGGCAAACGTGTCTAGTCGATCTCTCTGCATGCTATCTTCCTCAGTAAAATGGAATCACCCTGAGGGCAGGCATCTTGGGTCCTTGCACAGTACCAAGCACATAGCAGATACATAATAGATGTTTCCTGAAGGAAAGAATGACTGAATGAAATCAAGGTATTTCCTGGATCCCTGTCACTAATGGCTGTGTCGTTGGCATGTGTACTGATGGAAAGCTGCTGCAATGAATTCAACGGCGCTTTGGAAGGAGTGTAGATTGGATGAATTCTCAGGCATCTGAAGATGCCGTGAGAATAGGAACGGACAGAGGCAAAGCGTGTTTGTTATCGGGCCCACATTGGACACGTTGGCTGAGGGGGAAGGGCTCAGGGTCAGGAAGCTCACAGCGACCTCAGACACTGCTAGCTGTGGGATTTACCCCGTCTGAGCCTCAGTTTCCCCACCTGGAAAATGAGGTTATATAACAAAAACAGCAGCAACCTGCTGGCTGAAGTGTTACCATTTCTTGGGGTCTCATGCCAGATCCCTGGCATCTTCAGGTCGTAGGCTGAGGGTCCCTGATCTGGTCTGAGCCCTCGTTTTACCGAGGAGGGAAACAGGCCCAGGGAGCGATTGCTGAGCTGCATTTGTGACTGATCTTGGCCTCAGGGATGGTCTGCTCATCCCCGGCTTCCTGGAGACAGGCTCCCTCCTCCCTCCTCCCTCCTCCCTCCTCCCTCCTCCCTCCTCCCTCCTCCCTCCCATCTGTTCTCTCTCAGCTGCCCCAAAGAAGGAGAGGAACAGACAAAGCTGGAGCCTGTGTGCACGCAGACTTCTGACCCCGGCCGTGCCCACATTCGACAAGCTGGCCGTCATGGGATGGGGAGAGGGTGGCAGGCAGCGGTGAGGCAGTGCCTGGGATGCCTAACTTCAAACCCACCTGCCACTGTGGCCCTGACACAAGTCACTTCAATTATCCGTGACTCAGTTTCCTCATCTGTACAACGAAGAGGTGGGCTTCTAGAATCCTGTGGCCCTAGTCTGACCCGCCCAGTTTACAGGGAGGAAACTGAGGCCTACAGAAAGGCACTGGGATCCTAGATTTGAATACCACCTTTGATACTTACTGGCTGTGAGTTTTTGAGCAGGTCACATTCTGGGCCTCAGTTTCCCCATGTGTAAAATGAGCGTGGCACTCCTGATCTCTCAAGGCCCTTTCAGCTCTGGAGCAATCCTCCTAGGCTGTAGCCAGCCAAAGTGCCGAAGCGTATGAGCTGAAGGTCAGGGTGGCCCCCAAGTCTCATACGCAGCATCTGACTCTAACCTTGACAGACTGAACCTGACCCTCTTGGGGGCAGCGTCCCTCTTAGTATCCTGGGAGTCTAGTGCAGTGGTCGGCACACAAGAATAGTAAATATAGGAATTGCTAAATGAATGCATAGGCACGTAGGACTCATTGTGATAATAGCGCTTGCATTTATATAGTGCTTTACAAAAATGATCTAATTTCTCACAACCTAGGAGGCAGGTGCTCTTATTATCCCCATTTTACAGATGAGGAGACTGAGGCAGACAGAAATTACATAACTTGCCTGGGGTCACACTCTAGTGCCAGAGGCAGGATTTGAACTCAGGTCTTTCTAACCCCAGGCCCTCTGCTCCACCTGACTGCCTCAGTGATTGGTTCATGGAGCCAGAGTTCTCTCTGGCCATCCAGCCCTCCTGCCCTCAGGACACACCCGATCCCTTCTTCACGAATGCTGGCATGACATTGGAAGGCTGTTCTGGGCACCCCCGATTTGGAAGGATGTCGATGGGCTGGAGGGCATGCAGAGGAGGCAGGGCTTCCAGGATGGCAAAGGGCCTTGAACCCAGGCACCTGGAATGCTTGGCACGGGTCTGAAGAGGGCTTCGCTTCATCCAAGTGAGAGCTTAGACTGGATCGGGAGCTTCCTGACAGCAGGGACGGTCTTCAACTTCTTGGTGTATCCCTAGCTCTTCGCATGGCGCCTGGCACACAACGGTGCTTAATGAATGTTTATGGATTATCGATTGGCAGAGGAGGCTGGCGGAGGCGGGGGAGGGGAGGTAAGGTCGCTACATTCAAGTTTTTGAAGGACTGTCCCACGGAGGAAGGTCTAGACTTAATTTAGTATGACCTGGGAGCAGGTCAAGGATCAGTGCCTGCCAGATGCCAAAAGCTGCCTTGGTGTCACGTCAGAAACAATTCCCTAACAAAGAGAGCCCCGCACCAATGCAATGAGCTGCCTCAGCGAGGAGTGAGCTCCCCATCACTTGAGGTCTTCAAGGAAAGGCTGGATGGATTCTTCTTGGGAATGGCACAGAGGGGGTTCTTCTTCAGGTGTGGATTGGGCTGCAGGGCGCTGGAGCTCCTCCTAACCTGGGGTCTGTGACTCTCTCTACTCTGGGCAGGGTTTTTCCTTTTTCCTTCTTTCGTGGGATTTGACAGTAACTGCAGAGCTCTGCCCTTTGAAAGGGGAGGGAAAGGAATGTGCATTTATTAGGCAGCTGCTACGTGCCACATCCCGTGCTAGGGGCTTTACAGATATTATCTCTTTTGACCACAGATAGTTCCAGGGCTAGATTCTGGAAATAGCCCTGACTTCCCGGGGCCTGAGTTTGGTCCCGAAACCATCCTCCTCAGACCCTGCTCCTTACCAGGCTCCCTCCTAGATCCCTTGGGCTCCCGTGTCTGTGTCTTAGTCAGCCCGGCGCAGTCTAGCCCAGCCCAGCCCAGCCCAGCCTAGCCCAGTCCAGCCCAGCCCAGCCCAGCCCAGCCCAGCCTAGCCCAGTCCAGCCCAGCCCAGCCCAGCCTAGCCCAGGCCAGTTCAGTTCAGCCAGGACATCTGTTTCTCTTAGGCTTGTAGATGGTGGTAACCTCATGAGAAAATATCTCTCATAAATCCCTGAGAATAAGAAAAACCAGGAAAGGAACCTGCCGCCCCCCCCCCCACATAACACTGGGGGAGGGGGGAGGGAAATCCTCCTCTCCTTCCATGAGGCTTAAATCACAAACCGCTCTTTTGCTTCATTAATTTTGTTGCTATGCGGTGCCAAGATACCTTTTTTTTCCCAGTCTTACTAATACCTTTGTTCTTTGTATGACAGTCACTTCTGGAAATACCGTCCTTCCCTTACACAAAAGAAAAAGAATTAACAAAAATCCCCCTAACAGAGGAATTGTATCCACCATTCTGCCCCACCAGTCCACCACCTCTCCCTTCCCATTTATTCTCCCAGACCATAGTCAGTTTCTCAGTTACTCAGAGTCTGGCATACTTTCAGGCTTTTTAAAATTTGCATTGTAGCTGTTGTGTGTGGTATTTTCCTGCTTTTGCTCTCATTTTGTCATCCCACATCAACTGGAGCACTGCGGGCAAAGTGCCAGGACTAGAAATTGAGTCCTGAGTTCAATTCGGACCTTAGATACTGGTGGCGTGATCTCAGGGAAGTCATTTAACTTTTATTTGCTTACATGTTCTCAAATATAAAATGGGAAGGATAACAGCACCTCTCTCCCAGAGTTGTCGTGGTGATCAAATGAGAAACTCTGTACAAAGCATTTAACACAGTGCCTAGCACACAGTGGGTGCTTAATAAATGCTTGTTCTCTTCTTCCTGCCAATCTTGCCACATTTCTCTAAATTCTTACTGAGCTATCCCATTCCATTCACGTGCCACAGTTTACCCAGGCGTCCTCCTAGCGGACCACCATCTGCTTTGTTTCCAGTTCTTTGCTCCCACATAATTGTGGGAAAGTCTTGTGTCCTCTGAGGTCATCAGGCTACTTTATAACATGGTAAGCGCTAAGTTGCAGACAGATTGCCAATCTATCACAGAAGGGACTTTCATGCTTTGACAAAGTCAAAGGTCAGGACCAGCTCCCCTCTATGCATACCCCCCAATTTGTCCCAAAAGCTTGTGCAAAGCCCCTTCAACTGGGGTTCTATTACCAGAATAACGGAGCCTAGTGAAAAGTTCACGGCATCTAGCCCCAGGACATTACAATATCTTCCCAAGGAGATTCATGACCAATCAAGAAATAGACTGGCCTCATCGCCTGCACAGCTGTAACCAGTGTCCCAGAGGCTCAGGATCTATGTGGGCTAGGTTCTATCTTACCAGATTCTCAACATAAAAATCTCTCCCTTTGGCTTATGTCCTCACTCAGAGCTTCCTCCAGGAGCTTGAGAATTTGACTCATTTCTCCCTCACCTAAATTATTCCTGGGAATATTCAGGTATGTCTTATGTCTTAGTTTCTAACAATATGGGTAAAAGGAGGCCAGTTCTTTTTTTTATTGATTTATTTTGACTTATCAACAATCACTTCCAAAAGCTTTTGAGTTTTAAAATTTTTCTCCCCCTCCCTCCCCTCCTCCCTCCCCAAGATAGCACACAGTCTGATATAGGTTATACATACATATTCCTATTAAACATATTTTCACATTAGTGATGTTGTAAGTAAGAATTGGAACCAATAGGAAGAACCACCAGAAAGAGGAAACAAAACAGAAGAAAAAAGCAGCAAACAGTCTGCTTCGATCTGCATTCAAACTCCAGAGTTCTTTCTCCGGATGTGGATAGCGTTTTCCATCATGAGACCTTTGGAGATGTCTTAGATCCTTGCATTGTTGAGAAGGGCTAAGTCTATCAACGTCAGCCATTGCACAGCATGGCTGTTACTGTGTACAATGTTCTCCTGCTTCTGCTCACTTCTGCTCGCTCAGCATCAGTCCATACGAGTCTCTCCGGGTTTTTCTGAAGTCCACCTGCTCATCATTTCTTGTAGCACAATAGTATTCCATTATATTCATATACCACAACTTGTTCAGTCATTCCCCAACTAATGGGTATCCCTTCAATTTCCAATTCTTTGCCACCACAAACAGCTGCTATAAATGTTTTTGTACATGCGGGTCCTTTTCCCATTTTTGTGATCAAAGGAGAGCAGTTCTTAAGCAAGTTCACAAGTTAACAATATCAGGTATGGGGCAGTCTTCATTTCATCCCATAGACAGAAAGTACAAACCCCACAAAAGACTCAGAGGAGCTCTGAAAAATGAAGGTCACCCCTCCTCTCTCCAGCAACCCTCAACAGCCCCACAGGAATCTGTACAATCCTCCAGACTTACGGCACCATCCTGTGGTTTGGACTCTCTGAAAGAGAAACGAAGTTCGGGTTACTAAGGAATAAACTCCACTGTCCTCTGATAAGCTACTCACCTTACCTAGGACCGACACAATCCTCCAAGGATTTGGGGCTCCACCACAAAGTAACCTTACATTTGAAACTGGCAATCCCCAAATACCAAAGAAAAAGGCAATTTCCAGATACCTGAGGAAAACATTCCTGGTCCACGTAGTCCTACAGGTGAATCTGATCAAATCACTAATACCTATGCTACAAAATTATTCTCAAAAATTGAGAAGGAAAGCACTAAACCATACTCCTTCTATGAGACACATATGGTCCTAATATTTAAAACTGGGAGAGATAAAGCAGAGAAAGAAATGTGAAGACCAATCTCACTTGTGCATATTGATGCAAAAAATTTTAAAAATTATGGTATAAAGACAATAGCAATATAAAGAATCCTTACCTCTCCAAACTCCCTAGCACCTCTAGGGATCTATGCAATCCTCCATTCATACAGTACTACTCTAAATGTGTGAGGCTCCTCCCAAAGGGCCTCTTGTGCTTAGAGTTTTTAGTAAGACCACTCTCCATTGTACTTGCACAATTCAACTAGCTCATCGGCCATGGTTCTATTTTTTGTTCTTCCCCATATTCACATGGGTGTAGCTCTTCTCTCTGGAGGAACTCTCCCTGTTCCACCAATTTTGGGGTCCCAACTTTGCTCCTTTTCTTTCCAAGAGTCTTGGTTCTAGAACTCAGTGCTGTCTAACCCACCCCCACCCCCCCTGCCAGGAAGCTGGGTCTACAATTCTTGAGTACCAGACTGGTCCCTTCAAGGACCTTGTGGCTGGGACTTTATTCCCCCTCCCTTAGCTCTGGGTCCCTTGGTTTTTGTTGCAAGAGTTTTTGTTTGTTTTCACACGGACAAATTTACTTTGAAGATATAACAAGAACAAAAGTACAAACATTTCCTCCTAATACCTGAGGGGCCTTGGTCTGTAGAATGGGTTCAGATGGAATGGTTTATACATAACACTAGCTCTGCCAAGTTCACTTCCAAATGCGGCAAGGCTGATGGAGCTGTGTGCCTGCTGCTTCTGGGCCAGGCTGGGCATGACTGATCACTCAAGACTTTACTCCTCATTGGCAAATCCTAGCATGAATTTCAGCTCCCCAAAACCATACTCTGTGTGTGTGTGTGTGTGTGTGTGTGCATGGGTGAGGGACTACGAGTGTCGGACTTTGTATACATTGCCAGATTTGGTTGTTATGTTACTTTAGTTTTGCTGAACCATTTTTCTTTTTTCTTTCTTCCCTCCTTTCCTTCTTCCTTTCCTTCCTTCTTTCCGTCCTTCCTTCCTTCCTTCCTTCCTTCCCTCCTTCCTTCCTTCCCACCTTCCTTCCTTCCTTCCTTCCTTCCTTCCTTCCCACCTTCCTTCCTTCCTTCCTTCCTTCCTTCCTTCCTTCCTTCCTTCCTTCCTTCCTTCCTTCCTTC